TTGAAAAAAAAAAAATAAATAAAAAAGCTTATGTACTCACAGGGACTGCATACAAAAAGGGACGAATACACAAACAAAACACTGAATTACCATTATGGAAATTAATTTTAAGAGTCACAAAGCATATTATTCCTGGAAATTGCTTTTATTTAGCAATTATGTTAACACCGCAAAAAGGCAGTTGGCATTGAAAACAAACAGTTCAATTTAAAAATCAGGGAAGTGAATTGACTGAAATTTCAGGGCACTCACACCTGAATACACTCCACTACCTTCAGTACTTAAGAATCCTCAATCACAGGCTTAGGTTTTTGTTTGTCGAGGAGAAGAAGAAAGGGGATAAAAGGGTAAGAGAAACTGTTTATTTTGCAAATCAAAGTTAAACCCTGACAACCAACCAGCAGGGGAAAAAAACTGAAGGAGTCAGTGACAATACTGATACAATATTTTAATTTTTTTTAAGTTTTTGTTTTGTTTTGTTTTTCCCCCTGTAAAATGGCTTGTACTTCCACAGGTACAACAGCAAAGAAGTTATTTCAGTCCATTTCACATGGTGTATAAAAGACCAATTTTACAAATATACCCAGAAGTTTTAACAGCTTTTTAAAGGTAAACATCACTTCTTCGTTGTATGGGGCTTGCTGTGTGAACAAGACTTTTCCTACAGTTGTGCCACCAGAAGGAGCCTTCCAGGGGCTCCCCGTCATGTATTTGATCCAAGGAAAGTGCCACCCATCCCTAATCACCGTGACACAAACAGAAGGGACTTCCAGGTGACTTGAAGACTGGTTTGCCCACCAGAAAAACATAGAGACGCCGCGTTAAAAGGAAATCTTGACAGCCACCAGTTTCGTCTGTAGCTTGGTTGTCCGAGCAACTCCTAGTTTTGTTCTGCTGCCAGTAAGTGAGAACTCTGATCAAGACAGACAGTGAAGCTCTATCTTTGCGACCTGTCGAGGCTGAATACTTTGTTCTTTCAAGACCAAACCGTCTGCTGCAGTCAACAGGACACAGTTTGCACAGGGCCTGCAGAACTAGTGACTTCATCCTAGAAAGTGCCCCTTCCCCACCCCTGCCCCCCCCCAAAACCAGCCTTACCTTCCAAATTTTTCCTTTTAATTCGCAACACCAAGTGTGAAGACTTGTGAAGAGTGCTTACAAAAAATCAGAATAATAAGAAAATAAAAGACATTTGCAACTCAATTTATATTTTCCTTGAAGAGATAAGCAAGCCCGAAGGTATCTTTTTAATTCTCTTCCTTGTTTGTTTTCCTTCCAAGCTATATTTATTTGTTTACCCACAACTACATGGATAAATAGAAAATGAGAGGAGCCAAGAACTCACGACAGGCTGAAAACTGAGCAAACAAGGAGGAGGAGGGATGCTTGGCCAGAACACTGCAGGATAGCTGGGATGTCCACACCCTCTACCTGCCGATTCCACATTGCATCCAACACAGCATGTTAACAACAGTCTTGGGGAAAAACAGACCTCACCCGTGACACAGCGTTCCTTTACAAAGAACGGACAAGCACAGCTCATTTCAAAAGCGTATTTTGCAACTCAACTTTAAGCAAGACCAGGAGTCAAGTTAGATCAGTTTTCTTAACACACTAAAGCATTTAAGTGCCTCTTCGCAGTTCTCACCACGGCCAGACCACTACCAACAGGTCTCTGACGCCAGAAAAGCATCAAGACTATGGGCTGGATGAACAGAAACATGATTGTCCTGGAGAAGCTTCCTTCCACTTCTTGAAGAGCGAAAAAAAATGGTGAGCACAGCCATCAGCTACTGCAACAGCACTAAAAGGAGTGTCGCCACAGTTGAAACCAACAGTTTCTCCTGGGTGGTGCGCGGAGTTAAAAAATAACAAAGTTCTATCCAGAGACCATTGCAGTTTCTCACTATGATACACTCAGAACCTCTGCTCCTCGCTCAGGCTCCGAAGCAGAACCCTCAAATTCCAGGAGCTGTCATGAAAACATACAGGAGTGTTTTGCTGGGAAGATCACAGCCTTTCCATTTCATCCTAGAGCTTCTTAAACTGAGGAGAATCTTTTTTAGAGCATGAACCAGGTCTGAAAGCAGGAACAGCTACAATAACATTTCTGATGGGTTCCTGGCGTGCCTTTGCTTCAAGGGGGAATTGTCCCTACCTGAACCAGCTCGACAACGGCTTTTATCTCTTCTGAGCCCCATTCCCACCCTCATAAAGAAAAAAATTCCCTAATAACTCCACCAGTACAGTACTATTACTGTACCCTGAGGCACAAAGTGACCACACTTGAAAAAAATAATCGTGATTAAAATGCAGTATCATGCTAACTCTTTTGCACAAGTTGGACCACGATTCAAAATAAGAACAACGCTTACCACTCAGTTGTCTATTTAGACTTCAGCACTCTATCAAAAAGTTGTCGGGAAAAAGGAAAGTGTTACAGCTCCAGTGTGCACGGATGACAGATTTTTTCTGAAGATCAGACTAGAAAAATAGTTTTAGCTATAAGTTATGCCATCAAAGCTGGGTTTGAAGCATTCAAACAGAAGCAACAGTAACAGGTGGAAAAAATCCTTACAGAATACATTGCCAGCATTTGAAATGGGATGCAAGAAATATAACACTAAAATCATGAAATAAACTTTCAAAACAAAGTTTGAGTGTCATTCGCAAGTTTACTCACTCCAAACAGAACTGTTCTTATTTATCCAGAAACGACTTTGTCCTACTGAGTTACCAGTGAAGGTGTGTGTTTACTGAGACAGGGGAAGGAGAAAAGGGCCAAGCAGCCAAACGGTCTGCCACTTGATCAGAGCAGCATATGTGGCAGCAGCATTTGAGAAAAATAATGCTACAAACTCTTCTGCCTTCCCAGTAAATCCAGCTCTGCGGGACTCGCCCTAGATTTGAATACTGGTTAACAGCAAAGTACCTGGATTCATGCAAAGGAACTGTGGATGTTTGTTTCCCAGATAAGAGGGGAGTTTTCCTTCCTGCGGTAGTTCTTGTGTTACACAGAATTGCCGACAGCGAAACAAAAATCTTGCTTAAAACACAGTCTTTTCAAACGGACACTTCCCTCGGATACAAACCATCAGCCAGTCTTCCACCTCACGCAAGCCAAACACACCACAACCAGATGGTGTGCCAGTCTTTCCAGTGAGGATTCCTCTAACACTACATTCTTGCTCCACACAGTACAGCTATATGAAGCCCTGAAGCAGCAATTGAAGCGCTACAGCGAAGGAAGTAAAGCAGCTCAGTAACAGAGATGCCTGGGAACCTGCGTGTTTAAATCAATTTACGCTCAGAGGGAGACTACGCACGCAAGTCCTGATCAGCTCAGCAATACAGTTGCCACCCCAGACCCATGAAGCTGTTGTACACGGAGCTCAAGACCTCTGGCCACCAGCATTAGCACGCGGCTCGGTGTGTTTTCATAGCATCTCTTGTGGGAAATAAAATTACATATTTCACAGAGCCCAGTGAGAACGAGGTGGAGGTGAGACTGCCTCTCGCAGATGAGGTATATGCTAAATAGAGATACTGCTGCAGTATGCATACGGGACCTGAGGAACTTGTACTGAATATAAACAAGGAAGAGGCACCTTCACGTTCAGGGCAGAAACCATGACAAGGAATCGAAGGCCAAAGGCGTTTCTTCCCACTCTGGTTGGGCTGCCATTCTTGATGAAGATGAGCCACAAGGTTGTCTTGTGGGAGTAGGGACTCGGAATACAGAATCGTAAGAGGATCTCATTGAAAAGGCACTAGGAAGAAGCATATAGTTTTAGGTTAACAAGATTCATCCTATTTCCAATCACCGAGCGGGACAAAAACTGTACAGTTTGGGATTTTTAGAGACAATGCTGCAGAATTTTCTTTTTTTTTTTTTTTTTTAACAGCAAAAGCATAAAATGAAAAGTAAAGCTATTTCCAAATTATTAAAATGCTGAACATTTATACAGCAAAATCATATTAAAACAGCAGCAGACAAAGTACGTCCCTTTACCATTGGCAAGGGACATGTAAAATGTTTATAAGGTTAACTATAAAACAATTTTACAACCAAAATATGAACAGGCCAATTCAAGTATCTATATACAGAATATATTAAAATCATATAAATTATATATTTATACAAAGGGCACAAATATAGCAAGAAGCTATAGTTGATTAAACAGAACTGAGCTTGAATGATCAATTTCATCTAGAGATGTCATAATTTTTTCCCCAATTTTTTTTTTTTAAACCTGGATAGATTGATACCTCAGATACCAAAAGTACAGAAAGCAAAAGGAAAAAAAAAAAACCCACCACAAATCAAAGAGTTATCACTCTGTATGAAATGAAACTAACAGTGGGCGGGGTACATCTCATATGAAATTCTGATTTAATTATTTCCATAGTAAACATTTATCAGCTCTCTTAAAAAGTCAGGAATTTCAAGTGATCCACTTCAGATGTACCACCCTGGTGCATATATTTGATTACATTTGAATGTTGTTTGATTTGCAAACATTTGAAAAAAAAAAAAAAAGGATACAAACACATCTCAATCTGCAAAAAAAAAGGTGACAGATGGCAGCAAGTTGAAAACTGAACAAAAACACTCAGCTGAACCAGAAACGATGCTCTCCTTACAGCATTTTGGCTAGTAAGCGAGCTTAAAAAATACCTTATTTTTAACTGCTTTTTTATTTCAAAACATAACAGCATATAACCACAATCCATTGAAGCACTTGAGAATCTAAACAGTCCCGTCCGTGGGTTTATATTTAAACACGAACTAAGTGCTTTCCTGAATTCAGGTCTATGTAAATAAGTTCTGTATAAGTTGTACCTAAACCTTCTGCCTTGCTGCAGCACTACCCCTTCATTAATGCAGTTTTTAAAGGCTCGCTACCTCTCAATTAACCCAATGATCCTGGGCATGCAAGGAGCAGTTAGGGCAAGCTAAATTAAGCAAAAATAAAAAGGCCAGACTACACATATACAGAACATTGGCTTAAAAAACCCCGAATTAAGTATGTAAAAAAGTAAAGCAGTTTCACCAGATGCAGGTTGAACAGGGGTGGAAAAAAAAGAAAGAAAAAAAAAATCAGCCATATACCATACATAATGAACAGTGGATATCTATTTCACTGAAAGGAAATCAATGCAAACAGGATTTCCTCAGTTTCAAGTAATCCTTGATGCCTTTTTGGCCAGCTGCATTATACCATAATAGATATTTTAATAGCTTTTATACTCTACAATTTAGGCAGCTAATTTTTCTCTTACATATCCAATTATCTCTAGTGAACATTCACCTATGGTTGTCCACACATTCTGTATTAGCTCCTTCAGAAACTATTCAAGTTGAATCATATTTCAAATTAAAGACAGTTACATTCTGTACGTTCCTTCTAGATTTGAAAAATAGGTTTTAAAGGCTTGTCAAAGTTTAGAAGAAAAAACCTTTCCATTAAAAAAATCTTAGCTTAAAAAAATCATTAAGACACCTTTTTCTGATCCAGGGTACTAATAAAAAGATTACAAATATACTACATTTGACCAAGAAGACTTCATGAATATGCTGCTTTTGAGCATGCAACACCACTGATATCTGTCAAGTTCCAGGTATCAATGTATCCCAATTCCACCACAGTCCCTCACAATTTCCTTGTCAGTTCCCCCATCCCCACCCTACCACCCTATCAATAACATTATAAAAAAAGGTAAAATCTAGAATTAGTGGCAAAATCTTCACAGTAAATTGTTAAAGAAAAATGTTATTGTGGTCATTGCAAAGTGATATCAGTCAATCGGACCCTGAAAAATCAGCTTGATGCAGTTGTGTTCCCCAGACAGTTGTGTTGCACAGAAAGGGCAGGCGGCATGAAATGCATGAGTACCGTGAGGCAGTGGGATTTGAGACCAGTATTTTGCAGACTTCTCAGAGCACACGTGTCCACAAGGGGTGAAAGCATGAGTTGGAGGACCAGCATCCACATAGAAGCCTGCTTCGCAACCAAGCCAAAGAGGCACGTAGGGGCCAACGGTTCTGCACATAGGACATTCCCGCTCATTGGCTTCTGTGTCACTGCGATGTCCCCAGTTGTGATAGCCATGAACATGACCACAGCTGAGGTACGCCCAAGGCTGCTTCTCTTCTACCACATCTTTGCGGTTGATGCTGGGAAACGCTAAAGTGTTTAACCCAACCGGACACTGTGGTCTGGCAGCATTTATCTCTTGTCGCAGAGCTTCAATGTGTTTCTGAGTTGGAGTGTGAAACAGTCCATCTGCTGTTCTCCACAGAAGGGTGGCTCCACACAGGTCAATGAGAGAGCCATCTTGCAGGACGTTGGTCTCATTTTCTACCTAGTGGTAGAACACAAGGATAAGTAGTTAAGCCCAAGAGCTTTTACAGACCACTGTGCTCTGTAAATGTGTCCTCTTTCTCACCAAATCATTACCTTCCTTAGCATGCTACCTAGTTTTGTCTTATTGTTTCCTTGTGGCCCCCCATTTGCCTGAATCCATCTCTTGCCTCTTATCCTATATTTAAGGTTATAATGTCTCTTATTCTGTGCTTGTACAGGAGGTCCTAAATTTGCAACTGTTACGTGCCATGACAATACTAATTATTAGACACAGTCTTCCTGCCTGTAATACTTTGGGAAAGATATTACATTAGTAATCACCAGCTTCTTCACAAATACCCCCTATCTCTAAGCATGATACTTTTTCTCTCTAATAGTGATTTTTCACATGCCTTTGTCATGTTTAAGATAAGTCATGATAGACTGAAGAAGAAACTTGCCATTCCCTAAGGGCTGTATTAACAGATTGCTGCCCTGGAATTCTTTACCCACGTAGACTGGCAAAGGCTGCTCAGGCAGCAAAAGATCCTTTTTGGACTAAAAACTGCTACCCAGGACAGACCAGCTGTCCTGACACTTAGACACCTTTTTTTTTTTTTGCTTGCGGCAAGCGTAAAACGTTTTGCAGAAGCGTGAACTCCCACAGACTACCTCATCAACAGTGAAACTCTTCCACAGATACATTAGGGATAAATGGCAAATGGCATACTAGCTACGCACACAGATACTTATATAGATTATCGTTACAGCAGAATGAATTACCAGTTCAATTTCTCAAGTGACGAGTTCTTCAACTGAAGCCGCACAGGCTCAACTTCTGAACAATTAACCACCCCAACTAGTTAGGCCCTTCATTTAATGAGGTATTCCGTGCAAATACAGCCCCAATGTGCACTGCCTAAAGGCTTCTCTCATCCGACTAAAAGCAGGTACTTAAAACATTTTCAAGAGATTATGCCAAACACATGTTGTACTTTGCTGAAATATTCTTTAATTTATTTTAATGTCACAAACATATAAGCAACTTGTGCTATTGCTACCAGCTCAGTAATGATGAATATATATTAAAAGGGTTCTTTATGACATTAAAGAGGAAAACAGACCTACTGCCTGGCTTTATACATAGAAAGTAGGTAGAAAATAGCACTAAGGTGAAACAAGTACCCAAATACAAACAAATACATTAAGTAGGTCACATGAAATCATCACATCTGCCTAAGAATACTATGAGTGACAACCAATTTGGCATTTACATTTTAATCCAGTTTAAATTCACAGATTAACTGTGGATCATCCTTGCACAAAACACCTAGCTGGCACAATACAGACAAGAGGTCACCAGTGTAAAGTACTTTCAGCAGAAAAATTCAGTGGTTCACATAGAAATGAGAGAAGCCTTGCTATGATGCACTTTTCAGATAATTCCTTCACAAACAGCAAAGCAAAAAGCTTTCTCATATGCAATGTGTTCAATTCATTACACAGTGTGCTTTTGGTTTTATGAACCCAATCAACAAATACCGATCACATCAATACCAGTGTGCCATGTAATTTTATTCAAATGAGAATTCAAATCATTTTGGATGCAGGGAAGGGAATGTATTTGTTTTAGTACTGCTTTTCTTTAGCAGCACTAAAAGGTGGTTTGCTAACCACATACAAAGGGCACAATTGCAACATCATCTGTCCTAGTCCCCGAGGCAATGTTTGCCTGCCACCATCCAAGTGACAAAGCAGTTTATGTACTGCAGGCTGTCTACTGAAAGCACAACCAAATATTCAAACTCCATTTTCCTAACTCCTTTAAGCAGTCAGTATTCTGCACGGCCAATGGCAAAGCTGGCAAGTCAGTTCAGGGCACGTATGTGGGATACCTCTAACACACCACCATCAAGCTCACGGGAACTCAAGGCAGCAGCACAAAAACAACTCTGACATGAAGATGACAAGGATATTCTCCCACACCATGAACCCTTTCTTGCCTTCAAACTATAGCAGCTGAGTGATAAAGTTGCAAAAGAACATCCTCTGACTTCCTGAATCCTAACAAAGAGCAGAAGGGGTGAACCACGAAGGCTTTTCCAGGTCTGCAGGCAGCACAGCATTCTAACCTACCCAGAGACAAGGAGGACTTCTGGGAAAGCTCATCTGCCCAAGTGGGAATACGGCTGTCTGCATACTTCGCTGGGCTACTTATGTGTGTTGTTGTTTGACTTTCTTTGAGGGCAGGGCAAAGAAGGAAGGCGATGACAGCATTCTTCCTCCTAGGCTCCACAAACCTTGGGAAGGGGAAAGAACCAGACCACTGAGGGAATTCCCTTCCATCTTCTATGGAGAAGTGGACACATTCTTTCAGGGGAACCTCTCCTGGTTATGTATGGTCTCTGTGGCAGCTGAAATATCTCAATTTTGGTAAAGGCAAAGCCCATCCTGCTTCGCAGGGTAGAACAGGAATATACTTAGCAGGGCTTCTCATCTTCCTAGTGGCAGGTAAATTAAACAGAAGCTGTGTTATCCAAACTTGTTTTGCATGCAACTGGACTTTTAAGATAGTACTACAAAAGACAGCTCCCTATGCAGTAACTTCCAGATGTCCCCATGTCCCAGGAGAACCTTTCAGAGCTGGAGATTCAAGAGTAAAGTTTACTTAGGTTTTACACTCTGTGCTCTTTCAGTTGGAAAAGTGACATGAGCAGAAAACTTAAAAAGAGTACTCTCCTGCATAAGCAGAAACAGAATAGCTTTACAGAATCTACTGTAACACACATGGACTCACATGATTTCAGTGCTCACTACCCAGGGACGTCATTACTCTGCAGTCACCTGACAACTGACTTCATTCAATGCCAGGAAAACAAGTATCCCTTGTTTTGTTTTAATTACCAGTTACTTTCAACTTACCAGTTTCCCCCTTTGTTGAGCAGATCTGGTTTCCCGAAGAGTGTACACATCACCACAGACAGAGATTTCCCGCCACACTCCAGGTTTGGACTCCTCAGTGAACCCTCCTTTTGGATGCATGACCAGCACTCCATTAGTTGTCAATCCATCCATGTGGCCATCAGGATTTTTCCACTTTGCTGCTTTTTCCTGCATGTGACAACCACCCCAGAAAAGAAAGTGTTTGTCTAAAAGGTTATGGACTAAAGTTTTACTAGTACTATCTAAAACACAACATTTCCTCACTGGCTGGTAGCGCTTAGACATAGATATACAAGAGAAGCATTTTTAAGAATACCTTGTGCCAGACTCGTACCATCTTTTGCTTATACATCTTCAATTACTACTCTATCTTAAATATTATTATTTTTAACTCAGTTGAGTGCCTCTGACCACAGGTCAGGTTAAGAGTTAAGGCCTCAAGGGTCAGTAGCATACTCCTAACTAATGGAATACCATTGCAACAGGCACATCTTTTTCCATAACGCAGCTGATGTGGCTCCTTGGTCTTCAGTGCTCGGAACTGCAACAGCGGCTTATATTTTTGATACTCATTGTGAACATCAAACAAACCTAAAGAAAATCCACTAACAGTTACTAAAGTAGAGCTTCATTGTTAAAGACAATTATGACCATGAGTCCATGCTGGTAATAAATCAGGCACATAAAACTGCAGTTTGTACTTAACACTGAAGCTGGTACACTGGAGTAATAAAAGTGTAACAACTGCGTAAGTTATCAACTAGTACAAGGAAATTTGGGGGCTTGAAAATAAGAGAATAAAACCCAGTTTGTTTGTACATAATTTTTAGTAGTACTTACACCAAGAAATATATTTTTAGATGAGTCAAATCCAGCTGCAAAAATCCTTGCTGTATACGGTGGGCTCCTGTCACAAACAATCCTGCATGCAAAACGCGATATGGTGCTCTGTGTAATCTGGGTTTCATCATTATTTTGACTTCCAGAAATAGTATCTGTTACTACAAAGTCTATGGGGCTTTCTGTTGACCTCCCAACCTGTGCAAAAAAAAAAAAAAAAAAAAAAGAAGATAATGGTATAATTAGAAAGAGCCATAAAAATATCAAGCATTAAAGACACAGCTTGGCCAACATAATGTTGATGACATCAGTAAACTACTGATTTTTTGGATGGCAAGATCCAACCAGAGACTAATCTGTATTTTCACATTGGTCCTAGGCACAAATACATCACTGACATGGCATGACAAATCTTCTCTTACTACAACTGACATACATGCTTGCCAGCACAGCTGGAATGAATTGTTTGATTGAGTATTGTCAACAGCATGAAAGTATTATCACCTTGGTATTTCATAAGCCAACCACAGCAAATTACTTACCACAAAATTCTGCCAACTGAGAAAATGCTAGCTTGAAATGACAAGTTTTATTCATATTTCTAGTTCCAAGTTAATTTGCCATGAAAATAAAGGACTTTTTTAGATCCAGAACTTGGTTATTTTGATACATCATAACAAAAAGCTACCTACCTTCACGTTTTCAGAATAGAAGAGTTTTCAGGTAAAACCCACAATATGATTAAATTTATTGCTAATCATGCATGTGCATGACTAAAGAGATTTAAAAAACTAAATTTAAAAAACTTTCTTCAGCAGAAATAAAACACAGCTGATCAGCAGACAAGACTATTTTTCTGTCTTGACATCTATAAAGTTTAATTCTAACACTGGAAACATCTAGGCATCTGGAACAGAAAACTTCATTACAAAGTGGACAGAGGGCTCTGATTCCCAATCAAACATACAGTGAGACTTTATCAATACTCCTATAGGCAAATTAGTGTTACACCAACTGGGAAAGTGGAGCTGAGGAACAAGGAGTGGAATATCCATTTCACAGACACCTTGTGATCAAACAGTAAAAAATTAAGAATATTCTTCACATTAAACTACCTTCAATATCAGGCATCTACATTTATATAAAATAACCTCCTCACTAAACATGATCTTATAGTCCCCCAAGAAGTGACATTCTGCTTAGCTTCTTGTTCTTCAAAGCCAACTATGGGAAGACATGTATGGTTCCATCATAAACAAACAGCTCTGCAAACTAAATTAACTGTAAAGAAACATTATTCATGAGTCAGGGAAAGTGATATTATTAATACTTAACCCTCATCACAACTGACGTGAAAGCAACAGTACAGGGATCTCTCCCGTACTTTTCTGCTTTCAGTTCTACTTTGCAGTGTTAAACTCAAGACATGAATTTCGACGTGTTCAAGTGACACATCCAGTTACTTTCTCCATATCATGGGTCTCAACCCAAGTATAAAATGTGATGAGCTTACTGCAGAAGCGCCAAGGAAATACTAAAATAGGCCTAAACAAAAGTATGCACTTCAATTTTTCACAGTGACTACAATTTTTCAATTTTTCAAGTGACTACAAGAAAATCCAAGACAGAATTTAGAAACTGTTTAACACAGGACATTTCTGATTTATATAACTTGATGTGTTGAAGCTAAAACTTAAAGGTATATTCTTCTTCCTTTTACATTATTATTTCTAACAGGCTTCTATTTCCTATCCAATGGAATTCCTGCTAAGACTCAGCACTGACCAGCAACAGGAAGCTTATTCATAAACTTTTGATTATTCTCTCTCTGTATGTGAAGTCCTTTAAGTTAATCAATAACGAACATGAAATAAATTTGTTCAAAACAAATTTTTGCCTGTTGCAGTCTCTCAAATAGATCACGCAATGCTTTTAGATGCAATTAGAGAAAAATCTGCCTTATTTTCCCTTAAAGGATGACAAAACACGCCAGCGTTTGCTCCCAGTCTTCCATACAACATACTATCAGTCAACATGAAATCCGAATATGTTTGGATATAAGCATTAAAATCTATATACAAAGCTTTCATGTGGTTTTTAAAATTTCTGAAGTTACATTTAATATTTTAAGCAAACATTTATTTATATATCTCATTTGTGTCACAAGTATGTCTATGTCAAATATTTTAAGCATTTGGTTTTCTTTTGTTTGTTTTTTCCTCTTGCAAAAGCCTTCTAGAGGGTCAGTCCCATGTATTGCGCTACATTTCAACACTAGAAATTATTTGAAGCTCCCTTCAAAACATGGCAATTTCTCCATGCTCTGTATAAACTCAAAATTTTGTGTTGGAGATCATCGGAAAAGAAAGCCCCTCAAGAACAAATGAAGAATTTGATGCTACCAACATTTACCCACCAAAAATTTTAACTTATCTGATGTTGCAGTCAGACTACAGACCTACTTCCATTATTCAAAGCTACTTTTCAGACTTTATTACTCATTTTTCTTCCATTTTCCTCTGTAGCACAGAAGACTTTATTCCTTTTAGTAATTTCAGGCTATATTTTGGGACTCTTCTTGTTAACTGTATCATATTCTATATTATTTCACTAAGTTACTTCCTATAACAAATCATAAATCTTCCAACTGATGCATAAGACAGTTTCTGTTGTCTACACTACAGGTTATTGTTAAAAGCTGTGTAAAAGCCAGGCAGTCAATCAATTTGCTAGTGTCTACCGTCAATCAAAGAAGTGCTATTAAAAATGCTCACTCCTGAGACAACACAAAACCAGACAACCTGCCAGCAGATAATTTAACAGCTGCAGATTCTTGGTCTTCAAGAGAATTTCCCTCCAATGATAGGGAGAATTGGACCATACATCTTCTGAAGGCCTGTTCTTCAGAAAAAAATAATCCAATTCTTATTGAATGTACCTGGTCCTTGTATAAACTTGTAGTTATTTAGGGTACTGGCTACACATTGTGGTTCCTTGTAGTGGTATGAACAGGTATAATTGACCCATTCTCATCCAATCAAAACATGAAGGAACAGGTTCTACTCCAACTGATGCATCATCAACAGAATGGTTACTAAACTCTGAAGAAAAATCTTCATTTTTAACAGCATATAGATGCTGCAGCATATAGACTTTGGGAGATGCCAGATTGAACATATTACTACATTCTTTTTGTTATTACATGAAGACATCTGATCTGTATGTCACTAAGACAAAGCTGTACAATAGCTTTTGTACAGAAATTTCACTACTGAGTTATGTTAAGGAAGAAAACCCGCACACACAACATGGCAGAAGTAGTACAGTGAAGGAAAAAAAAAAAAAAAAAAAAGAAAACCAAAAAAGCCTATTCCCAAAACCAAGTACAGAACAAAAGAACAGAATCCTATCAGATGTCCAGGACAACCTCCCAAAGCAGCTGAACACCTCCAAGTTTCAAATCCCTGTTGCAGGAGGTTGTGAAGCCACTTTTGTTAAAGGGATCCACAGCAGCAGATGTTTGTCAAGTGACACAAGGATACAAGTAAGCTGGGAAGACAAGACCACCCATTTCTACATTGTTTCCAGCTTTCAAGAAAGAAGAACATTCCTGGTTAGCACTTTAGTATTTTCAAACACTCAAAAGAGTATGCTTACTTGTAAATAACTCTTCATGTTATCTTCAGAAAAGAGCTAGTAGAACAGGCGGTAGGATGACTCCTATATAAAACTTCATCATGCTGCATCCACTGAATATGCATATAACCTGCATGGTTAACACATGATGTGTGTCTGCACAGGGGAAGCAGGTAGAGTACGTGTATGGTGATTTAAACCACTCATTAACTGCTAAGTTATACGCATGAAACTATGGTCATTTTCATTTTATTATGGAAAATGTCAAGAAAATTGGCATTTAGACAGTCTGAACACTGCTCTTCAATGCCTTCTGAATTTCTTTACTGCCCCTTATATAGTCTCCCCATATTTTCCATATGTGTCTCACTTCCGATAAGTGTCTACTCATGCTTCTGTTGGGTTACAAGCTTGGAAAGCATAAAAGAAAAAGCTATTCTGGGTTTGCAATCTTCAAAATTTTCCAGTTTGTTTGTGGAAAAATTGCAGAATACAAGTAAGCAATACATTTCTCATGTTTTCCTTCAAAGAGGAAGGCTGACAACACACTCTCAAAGTAGAAGCAGGAAAAAGGTGGCAGCTTTTTTCAAACTGTGAATCTCTCTCATTTTCACAGGAAATCAGCTCTAACCAAATGGATTCAGTCCTCACAGGTTATAAATGGTACCCTGACCAAGAAAACAAAGACCTCTGCCATCCCTTTTTCCTATTTCAGGTCTCACTGACTAAGGTGTTACTAACAACCGCCATTCCAAGCTTCTCACATTCCTTACTATGGTTATCTTAGTGAAGTTATGCAGTGCTACTATCCCATCGTACAGAGGGGAAGATTGAGATTTAAAAAAAAAAAGAAGAGCTAAGTGATTTGCCTAACATAATACATGTTATCAGCAGCCAAGAAGAGGCCTCAAGATAATCCTGTGGTCCAGGCATTATCCTTCCCTTTTCAGCTTCCACATCCTTGCCAGTGTTCTGCAAAAGCCAGGAAAACACATTTGAAAAGAAAACAGCAAACTCCAAGGACTGTCTATTCAAGCAACACTTGATCAACAGTCAGGTTTTACTCTGTGGATCAATAAAGACAATGTGGAATTTGCCATCACATACCACAGGGCAGCACAAAACAGCCCTCAAGTAACTCTTCTCTGACTGCTTACAATCAGATTACTGAGAATTAAAACCTAATAGCTTATCTCAATAATGGAAATCTTTTCAGTTGCTGTCTGGCATCACTTGAGCAGCAAAATATTGCCACAGTCTACCAGACTATTTCTCTTCCCATTCTCACAGCTATCAGGCCAACACTTGCAGTGTGATTTTCAGAAGACAGCTACAGAGAGTGGAAACATGAACCAGGACACAGTGCTTGAGGTGAAGCTGAGATCAAGTCACAGCACGACAGTCTGCACATCTCAAGACAGAATAAACAGACTGCACTGAAAAGAGGAATTTTAACAACATGGAAGCTTCAACCCCAATACATTAGCCATTTGAGGGGGCACCAGAAGGGCGGAGACACTCTACCAACACAAAATTCAGCTCAAAACTTTTTACTGTTATTGAGATGGGATGGCTTGACCCGTTACAAGCCAAACCAGTCATGTAACTAGAAATGTATGGTAGATAATTGCCTGAACCATAGGCAGCCTCTCACAGGTGATTTAGTACATGGGCCAAAATTAGGGCTTTTGTGACATTTCACCAGGCACCTGAGAGCTGCCAGAAGGAGAAAGCATGATCTATGCTTGTGGCAGTAAGAGATGTGCCAGCCATGGAATTGCAGTAGGTCTCTGGGTCAGGCAGTGCAGTCCAGGCTCAAGTGTACTACCCTGTGCAAATTCCTCCTCTACTGAGCATCAACGGATCCTGAAGGGGAGCAGGAGAAGATCCGTTGTTAGCTGGGCTATGCTATGCTTAGCCAGTCCATTCCCCACTGAGCCAAAGCTCTGCTTTAGATTCAAAGCATCCTTAATTAGCTCCCTTAACCTACTGCCTTAGGGGTCACCTGAAGTGCGGTCTGTGGAGCACTGCTTTGCCTGTGCTGGATCTCCTCACCTCAGGCTGCCAGATTTCATTCGAGTGACAGCTAAGCACCTCAACTGACCTAATTTTTTATCAACATCTACCCCCAAGTAAAAGATGTAACTACCACTAGCATATTATGCAATCGAGAAAAGCACTGTCTATAAAATATGACCAGAAAAACAGCTGCAACTCTTTATTCATTTTTTAGTGTATACAAGTAGAAAAATTCCACCTTTCAAAAATGTTTTTTTCAAAATTTACATACAGAAAAAGTTTCACTGGAGCTACTCAAGGCACAAAAGCACCTTGCAGAGATAAACAAGTATCAGACAGTAACCCAAAAGGATGGGTTACATTTTCCTTTTACTAGTTAACATAGAAAAACCTATTTCAGTTCACTCTAGCTGTGTGATCCTTTTCTAACTACCTATTCATGCAGCACCACATGAACATGACTGGTTTTTATCAATCTATTTGAACCTAATCGTTCCAAAGTCACACTAGTAAAAATTTTATATAGAACAAAAAAAAAGAAGCCACATAAAGCAAACGCATTTTCATCTTGATAGAGCCATTTCCTCTTCTGTCAACAGCATTCAATTGCTGATCCTTCTAAATATGAAAGACTGCATGAGGAGGGATAACAATTCATAAGAAGATGCTCTAATTACAGAGGTCACTGACAAGACAGACTCAATTAGTCTTGATTGGAAAAGTTTGTGTTGTTCCCTCAGCTTGAGGTTTAAGTTTGTACAGAATTTGTGCTCTCTTATTATATATAAAAATAAGTATTGCCCAATAAAATAACTTAGGTTACCAGAATGCTAGATGATGCAGAAAAACACAAACGTATACACAGGAGAGTAAGAACATGTTGAATATAAGATAGCTTAGAGAAACACAGCACAGTCCCTTACACCATTTGATATATCTACACACCCTTCAGGAAGTGTTTTTTTTATCATTCTACCACCACTTTGTCTCCTTTAGTGCACAGCTCCCATATTTCCCCCTCTACCTTTTCTTTCACCTTCCTCATCCCATGTCCTACTCCTACCCATTTCCTTTTTATTCCAGCGACTTGATTAACTGCAGGGTGTGTGGGGGGGTGCATTCTTGTGCTTATTCATGAATTCAAACAGAGCACACATTGCTTTCTAGCACTATTTGTACAGTCCTTGCAGAAAAAAAACAGAGTACAGTATAAGCAGTAAGGATATTAATGGATGCTGACACTGGTTTGAGAAGAGCAGACAATGCAAAATTTCAAGTGCTCCCATATTAATGCAACTCGGTTCAACCATGAAAATTCCACAGATCACAAAGAACACCCAGAAGAATATAATTGCTTTTAAAAACCAATGCATGTATTGCATAGAGTCTTACCTGAAACATGTCTGTATCTTTATCATGAGTATACTCCACTACTACAGTCTGGTTTCTGGATAGTGTGTAAGAGATACTGTGCTGACCTTTACAGCTGATCGCCTGTTGAATAAAAAAAAAAAGTCTATTATACACAGCTTCCACATAAATATTATAATCAAGTTCATTTCACTACATAAACACCTTTACTATGATCAGGAAAAGCAGTGTATTGTAACATTGTATTACAAGGCTGGGTAAACACATACAGTAGGATTTTTTGTTTCATTTTTAATGGTAAACCCCAAGCTGCACTTGTTTGTTTCTAGTTCAGAGGTACCCAGTACCTACCATTTTCATAGCTTAGACTCCAAAGACATGGTTTCCTCTCTGAAATTATAGTAAGTTCCTAACCGTCACAGAACTTATACCCCAGCAAAGACTTGGGGTTTAAGGTTCCTTGGTTTATCTGGGATTTGGTTTTTGGGGTGGTTTAAAAAAAAAGGGGGGGGGGTGGGGTGTGGGGGGGTGGCGCGTGTTTGCTTTGTTTTGTTTTTAAGCAAGTGAGCAATACAATTGATTTCCAGTTAAGAGTGCCACGATTTCAGGGATATCATTGCAATTAAGTAGATTTCTAGTTATATCAAGAAGAGCCTCGCAATTTTATGTAAATTGTGATTAGGAGCGAGCACTTTCACCCTGTTTTTCCTCATTAAAGGGTACTTCTTACTTCCTGTCAAAGGAAACTGATCTCTATAGATATGGCATCAAAGACTAAATAGTATTCAAAACAAGACTAGAAGAGGACAACTGTTATTCTGCTGTATCTAAGACTGAATTCTTCATTTCTTAAGACTTCCCAGGTTTACTTCTCTAGGTTGTCTTTTTCAAGAAGTCCAGTTATCTTTTTCCTAGTCCAGAAACTACTTCAGAAAACACAACAGACAGCACCCCAACACAAGAGCGGTCCAAACTCGGAAATAAACAGTACGAACCAGTTTTCCTTGATAAATGAATACACAGCACGGTTGTGACAGCAGACAGCGGTAAGAAGGGGTACTGCGATCCTTTCAGAACCTCCGAGACTCAGCGTACAAAAAAAATCTTTGTGGCACTGATGATCATTTCTCAAGCTTAAAGATTAACACTCACTTCAAATGATTAAGCGATGTCAAACTGCAATTGCACTAGCTGTACAATGTAAATGCACCAGTAAAAGCTTCAGGACAGGGAAACAAGCTGAGAAACTAATTCTTTGGCTAACAGGGAAATGTATGTAAATATAAGGTCCATATAACTGCACACAATTATGAAAGGTAATGACCGTTACTGCTCAGAAAACACTTTGCAGACTCTTAAGTATTGAATTAATAGGTTAATTAAAGCTTTCTTCAGTTTTCTGCTACAGGGGGTAATTTTCTAGAAGAGGTTCCTTCACTAGCTCCATTCTCTGATGCTGCTCTTCACCTGCAAAATTCACAGATAGAGATGATTAAACTAAGCAGCTAAATATATTCTCCTCATCTGTCTGTCATCTCTCACAAAAGTCTAAATGATCCCAAAGCTACAGATCAATTATTAAACAAATCATTAAAAGTCTTACTAATGTTGGAGGTACTAAAAACACCTACGTGCATACTAAAAACCTACTAAGGATTAGCAAAAATATTTGACATAGAATTACTGAAACAACATATGAAATAATTAATTTTTTTGTAAACTGCGGGCATTTACAGCAACAGATTAGAGATTAGATTTACAACATGCCTCTTGCTGAAAGCTCTTAGCAGCTCCGACACCTGCTAAAGTTTTAGGCTTAGGTGATAATACCTGGAGGCAAAGGAGTGGGCAAGATGACCTTTCCCTGTCCCTTCCAGTACTTTCTTTCCTGCAATGAAGCTTTTAACAAAACTTCAAGTCATAAAGTCCAGTTTCCCTGATTTTGTTCCAACAGTTCTAACAGCTGAAAAGTGAGCTAAGCATACATCAGCTGTACGCAGATTCTAAATTTCCCATTTTAAATTTATAGTGTTTTGTAATAACCACTACACAGGCACACAGTATGTTGCGAGAACAATTAGCATCTCAAGATGCAATTCAAATGAAGTCACTAACACTTTGTGACCTGCTAGGACACTGAACTGTAGGTCTGAAGCATGTATCATGAGCTCTTGCTCTATGCGTTTGACCACTAACAAGGGGATCTCAAGTCCTGAGCAGTCTCAGGTGTGCCTAGAATATAAGTGAAACAAAGTGATGTACAGGAGACCCTTACACCTTGCATTTTGAACACAATATGGCAATAATCAATTTATATTCATATCATCAGATATCATCATTTCAATCAGAAAGTAGTAGCTTTCACACACAAAAATTTCCTTCATTTCCACAAAACTGTGTTGCAGCTGAGGATGCAACGGAGGACAGGCTCATCAGCAACTGTTAACGTGATGGTCCTGGCTTTAGGTGTGCAGCACGGACCACCAGCAACCAGGTAAAATTCCCAGGCACGGATGCGTGCCCTAAGCTTATGCTATTGTCAAACAAGATACTGGATCAAATGGAAGCTTTGTTGAGACCCAAAACTGAAAGTTTCACAGTCTGATGGAAAAACCAAGGAGGAGGGAAAGGTAAACACTTCCAGAATTACTTAGTAAGGTCATGTCCTACGCCTACAGAATTAGGGCTTAGGTATGTTAGTAATTCCCATTAGGTTGACCAGGGTCAGTATCTCCTCTGAACTAGAGTAAGACATAACCTTTTTCTTTTCTTTTCTTTTCCCAACTTTTCTTCCTCATATTATTTCCCTTCCTCTTTGTTTTCCAGTATTTAAATCCACTTCTTTTCAGGGTGAAATGCTTCGTTTCATTTTATTTCCTGAAATTGTGTAATCATTTTTCAAAAAGCTAAGAACATCATGAGAAATGTTTCAACTTGTGTGCTTTCACAGACTGGTTAGCGCCAACAGTTGCTCCAATTCAGACATTTTACAGGCATATTAATTGCTGGTCTCAAAGCAATCAGCCACTTCCAAGTTTAAAAAAAAAAAGTAACAGTATTTCAGGAACTACACAAAACCATGAACTATTCACAATGGCTATGACAAGTGAAAGGTAAGTATCTTAATAAAACAGTATTGAAGTGGAATGCAGCCACAGGCAAAATCATGAAGGATTTTGACAGCTTGAGGAACTACAGAACCACACTATTTTAAGTCCCAAAAAAGTCTGGAGACTGATTGCCCCAACCCCTTTACAAGTGGTTTGTAGCAACCAAAATAGTGAGGTTGCCTTTTTACTGCTTTTAGCATTCAAATTTCTAGACTTTTTTCTGCCAGTAGGATTTCCCCCCAAAAAAACAACCTTGATATTGTCACATAATTGCACTACTGCGAAGTTGTGAGAAAAGCCGTGATTCTCACAAGCCATACAGCAGCATCACAAGTTCTAGCAGATGATGTCAGAGTTTCAGGCTGCACATCATCACGTCCACCTTCCAGGCCAGAACTAAAACACAAAAGAACAAAAACCAGGCACTAAACCTTACCTCTATCTCTTCACCTCCACCCCAGTGCTGCCAAGATCAACCAGAGCAATAATGCATATTTTCAAAGCTTGTACTCAAACTTTTGAGTGTGTGGGCCAACATCACCTTAATTTGAGAGCAGTTCTCTCACAGCTTTTAGGCTATTAAAAGTTTAATGAAAATCAGCAATTGAGCATAGGAGGAAAAACCCACCTAAAATTAGTTCCCAGCAGAAACAAGTGCTGGAAAAATCTTGCTAACATATATAGCCTGAGCCTGCCAAACAAATCAGAAACCTGTGGCTCCAGACTAGCCATA